CTTTGATTTCTGCCTCTATTTGTAGTTTACCGGATTTTCACGGGACATTTTTCATTTCTCTCTTTTTTTAAGTGTACACGAATTTCCACGACGAGAGATGTTCGCAAATTTTCGGCCGTATCAGCGAGCAGCCGGTATGCGCGCGTGAACGGACGGTTAAATTCCTTTAAAGATCGAAATGTTTTCCGGTCTGACCGCTTCACAGGCAATATTTCCGCTTTCGACGGCCAAGTGTTCGCAGCGTTCGCAAAGTGTTATGAAATTAAGTTTCGAGCGATTGACGTTATTCGCGGACGCAAACATAACCGAATGGAAATGGAACCAGAGGGCACGCCCGAAAATACCGTGGAGCATCGACGATGAAACGTAATTATTTGCGAGCTACGCGAATGGTCGGCCAGATGACGAGTTCCTCTGGATCTTGTCTGTGGAATCGACAACCGGCGACCCGATTCCCATTCGCAGAACACGACGCCTCGGAACGTTAGCTACGAATCGTGCATGTAACACCGTCTCCGACCAGCAGCATTTCAACCAGGTTGGAATCCGTCTTACAGTGGAAGGGTAATTCCGTCGCTGGGACTTAATCGCGGCAAAGCACGTGTTGCGACCGAAACAACATCTACCCAGACCGAGTTTCAAGGAAACCAGTCTCTCTCACCCTCTCTTTCTCTCTCTAGCACTAACCTCTTGCTCCATTGAACGGAAGGACCGGACCATCGATCAAATTCGGTGGTCCAACTTGTCGCCGGTGACGAGGAACTTGGGAAGTCGGCATGAAATTCCAAGCTCTAAACCGAACTAATACACTTAACGGGGCAAAAGTGGGGGAAGATGGTTTGGTTTCTAGCGGCAAACTGATGGTGGCTTCGAGTCACTGTAATCAGTCTTCGTTCGATGCTGATTTCCCGGCTGCAGTTTTCCCGTTGCTCCCATGTCCTTTAAACACGATACATCTTTATCGAGGGATTAACCTCTCGCCGACGAAAAGATCTCTCCGCTTGGGTGATTTTTAATAGCCAAAGGATCGTTCGAGGGTAGAACGTTGGAATAGCCTGGATTGGAACCGGTGTCGAGATCATGATAAACGGCCAAAGTACGTGATTTTAGCGAGTTACGTAATCTCGGCCCGAGGCTTTCTAGGTAACCGGCGGTGTCGGATTGGAAAAGTCTCGGACGTAATCGGAATTGCGAAGAAGAGAATTATGTGAGAGAACGGGAAACGAACGAGCAATATCGACCCGTAGCACTCGAAGCGCTAACCGAGTTGGCGCAAGCCCGATGCAAGGACAATCGGCCACTACATTAGTGCTCTGTCTGCGGTTCGAGAATTGTTTCCGAAAGAAGTTTCAACTTTGGATAAAAACAAAGGACCTTTAAAAAGTTCCTCGGACTTGGTTGCTTCCGAAGGGAGGAGGAAAAGAAGGGAGGACCGCGAGGAAGAATTAATTTAATCAGACGCGCGATTCGTGAAAACAAGTGGCCAAGTTTGTAGATTATTTTCTCCGATTCGTGGCACAGGTAGTTATTTACGAGTTTAGTTACGTTACACGGGATGTATCTGGTAATCTGCAAGACTCATTGCACGGAGTTTATTCTTCGCAACAAAGTCCATCGAGAGCCACGAGAAATGGTGCAATTTGGAGGGTGCGATATGTTTGATGAATTGCAACGGGGGATGAAGCAGGTTCGAGAAGTTGGTCGAAATTTTATCGATAGCGGGCGATAATACGCGCGAATCGAGCGCTCCGAGCCACCATTATTTTCGTCGGGGTGTCGAGATTTCTTATCAGACGACATTTCTATCAGTTCGTTTAGCTAACGGCACTATGGACCAGCTTAGTCTTGCCTCAGTGATATTCGAGCGGAGTAATTAAGAGTGACATTAAGCTAGGATCGAGGCATCGTCATCGAGATAATAGCTACTCGTTTTGGCTTCCGTGATATTCGCCGAGGATCAAGTCGTCGAATTTCACCCGGTTAAACGATAGTTTTCCGCGAATCTAATAGCCACGAGGAAATATACCGCTGATTATATTTAAACCTCCCCAACCGGACGTCTTTTTATCGTCTCCCGAAATGGCCATTTCGAAAACACTCGCAGAGACACGATGCTTGGAGGAATTTCGATTTGCGCCGAATGCCAAGCTTTTGAGTTAACTTCCCTTTGAAAGCGGCTCCGTGTACTCTTACACGTTTCTACACGTTGTCGTGAAAGACACGCCGTGTTTTTACCCGCTTCTACTCGTCTTCCCGTGCGACGCTCCTAAAGTGCCAAGACTCGAGAGGGTCTTTTCCAAGACTGTTTCCCGATTCTTCCCGCCGCATCCTCTTCGCTGAATCCGAGGCAGCCTACTCGTCGGGTTTTTAAGCAAACATTTCAAGTAACAGCTGCACAAATGATCGAGGCGCGACAACGAATTTCTCGGCACCGGCGAATATTTCAACGAGTACACCGAAATCCTGCAGGTTCTAATTAAAAATTCCGAAACGCCGAGTAATCGTAGAAATTTTTCGCCGGTACCTTGGTCGAGATACTCTCCATTTGAGCCGTCGCTTTAAATGCGAAATCGCGAGAGATGAGCTGTCGGGAAAGCTTTTCATTCAGCGTAATTATAAATAAAAAGCTGATGTTTTTATCTATAATAACGTAATTCGCGCAAACGAACTCGCTGACCTTTGACGCGGCGTATTTTTTCCAGCAGCATTGGTGCATCTGAACGTAACCGCGATTAATGATCCCCATTTAGAATGTAGTTGCAGATTGGTAGGTAACTGGCGAAGCGTGTATCAAACGGAATTAAAGAGCGAAACGGGAGACGTTTGGACAGCTCTATCAGCCGAGAAAAATGTGTACATCGAGTATGATTTTTGCGTGCGATTTCCTTTTTTCTTTTTTCACGCAATTTCGCATCTCCTGTGCGCGGGAGCTTGCCATTCACCGCCTGTCGTAATTATTTTCAACTTTCGAGCACCTTTTTATTCGTCTCTTTTCAACATTTCTCAGTTTTCCACGCGTGAAGGCGGATTTCTATCGGCTCGTTAATCGCAGGCGTTCTGGTAATGAAAATTTTTAATCGCCGATGAAAGAACAGGGGATACGCGACAACGTTTCACTCTTACCAGCGACAAATGAAATATGCAGAACGTCTTCCCTTTTCAGAGTAAAATGGCGTTAGGATGGCCAGGAGAGGTTAATTGCAAGGAAATACGATAAAGCAGACGGGAAGCGTTTCGTCGAAACGTTGGAAAATTTATGCGAGCCGCGGATTCCCGGGAGGAGGTGGAAACCGAAATAGTAGGGAGCACGCGGCGTATTTTAAGAATTCCGATTATTCGTTATATTCCAGGTATCTTGGCGATCCCTGCGCTTAGAACTTTTTCGGAATTCCCTTTATATTATTTTTCGCCGCGTTGAAAAATCGACGATTCGCTGAACCGATGAATAAAGAATAGGCAAACAGACGTAACGAGCGGTAGAGTGGATTTTTCGACGCGAATGATGGAGAAACGACGGGGGTTGAAGGGACGTGGACACAAGAAATTGTTGGTTAAAAAAGAATTTGCGTTTTTATTACAGTGACGTATGTATATGTTACAGTACACAGCGTGTGGGTACATCTGAGATCTTTCGCGATGTCATCGAACGTTAACGATACATATCTATCGACCGTTTGTTTTCGATTTTATGTCACGCGACGAGCACGTGTTCTATCGCGACCATACTCTCTCGCCCCCTCTCGCCCCCCCGGCGACCGGGGATGCACCGGCAGTGCCCAGTTTCTCGTTATCACCTGAACTACGATTCGCTGGATATTACGCAACGCGGTATCTAATTTCCAATGTATTCCTGATAACATCCGTGTGGTTAGCCTATGATACAGCAAAGAGATGCGATAGTCCCACAGTATCGAATGCACGAGTCGTTTGCATGAGTCGCAAGTGCGGTTCACGATGTAACGGCGATTACTATGAAACGATACTGAAAAGTCGCGAACTCGACGAATCAACACCGACGACGCACGTTCCGCTTGATTCGCGATCGCGGGAACGGTTTTGGCGAGTCGTTTGGGTCTTATTCCTACGTCGAGGCAAGCGGAATCATTGCTTTCATCCTAACTGAGCTACATTTTGCTAAATGAAGTATCGTCGAAAGTTCGCCTAAGTCGTTTAAATTCTTCCCCGAGTCGTTGTTTCTCCCGCAACAACGACCCCAACTGTTCACTTATGTACAAACGTGTCTCGCTACCGGTGTTCGAACGAATACCTTCGTCGCGCGATTCGTCATCGTCCGACAGGGTCTCCGGTGGCCCCTGGATGCGTTGCGAACGGAAATTCGAGACAATTCTTATTCGAAACGACACGCGTCGCATTGTCCGTGCTACAGCGAGAACCGCGCGAGCGGTTTGCCGCGCCATTTAGAAAACACAATGCACCATGTTCCGAATGGGTCCTTGCGTACGGTGTTTACTCGTAAATCGTGCATCAAACGCGACGTGTCGCGTAACGAAGTCCGCTGATCCTTCGGGCTACGGTTCACGCGGGTTGATTCACTGAACACACACTTGCCGGCGTACGGAGTACGTCGGGTCTTTTACGTTCACGTCCACGCCGGGTGAAGCTACATTCAGTAAAGTTAAGATCCGTAGAAAATCACATATAAAATGCTCGGTTAACTAGATCGTTTGCACTTTGCGTTTGCACGAACGCGCACATACTTTTGGCCAAAGTTCATCTGGTCGCGTCGAATGGAACGACGACGACGACGACGACGACGATGACGACGACAACGATTCGTCGAGGATTTTTCTCTTTCGTTCTTTGATCATTCTTTGATCATTCTTTGATCGGAGAATCCGAGTTGGATCGAGGAAGAAAAAACTGCCGCGAGTCGTGAGGGTTTCGCGTTTGACGTCAGACACCGGGTTCGGTTCGGAGAAACCAAGGGGATCAGCTCAAACGTTCGAAACCTCCACGTCTCGGGAGTTTTTTAACTTGTCTCATACATTTAGATTGGCGTTGCCCATGCTGTTGATGAAGTTCGAGTGTTGACCGTCTTGGCTGGCCTGTCTGGCCGCGTGTCCAGCCTCGCCGCTCTGTATGCTGAAGTGTCTGTAGGAAATGTATTCGGGCGGGATCGGCTGCTCCCTCTTTACGGTCTCCCTTTGCTTCTTTACCTTCAGGTAGCCGAGGACGGACACAAGGAGCAGGAACACTACGAATCCCATGCAGCAGCCGACTATCAGACCTAAACGTCTGGTCAGAAAGCTGCTGACGCTCCCAACATCACCCATCGACGAGCCATCGCTGCTGATTACCGCGTCCGGTGCCTCTAGAGTCTTCACTTCGGTGCAACGGCTCGTAGACGAGTCTATCATTTGCATATCCGACGATGATTCGAACGTCTCGTAGTTGGAGAAGTTAAATTGATCTATCGAGTCTTCTTCGAGGCGTTGGTTCATCCAGTTGCCCAATCCAAATACGCAGATCAGATAGCGAGTGTTCGGCACGAGCTTCGATAGTTTCGTGGACCGGGAATTCGGCTCCATGTTCTTCGAACGTATCTGAAATTTTCGACCAGAGAGAAAGATCGGTATAATCGGAAGTTGCTTTGTCAGGGTGTGTAGTAGCGCGTTTAGAATGTTCTAGTTCGTATTACCTCCTCGATGTTTTCCATGGTGTGATAGGCCACCCGATAACCGCGAATACCCGAGTGATTTCTGCTCTGCCAAGACACCAACACGGAGAACGGTTGAATGTCCTGAATGGCAAGCTTCAAGACGAGAGGAGCCGAGCAGAAGGCGTGCGGGTCCAGCTCGAGGAACACCAACCCCCGTAATTCCGGTGGCTGTTGGCACCTGAGTAATCCGCTGTCCATGTCGTTCATTCGCAATCCACCCCCTCGATTCCGAGCCACGCCACCGCCCACCAGCTTCTGATGATCACGCAGCCACTCCCAAAGCTCTTGAGACTCGCAGTCGCAATGTAGCGGATTCTCTATACCCGGAAGAACATTTAATTTCGTTTAATCGCTGTTTCGCGAGAAACGGATGGATTTTCCCGTCGAGCTGTGTCGTCGCGCCGCCATTAATATCGCGGGAACGTTACGCGGGACGATAAGGATCTACGAGAGTAAAAATAGAAACATTCGTTACCTTCGGCACGAAGGCTCCTTATCTGCGTCTCCAACGGTCGGAAGGCATTCAGTGGTAAATTCGCTAAATAATTTCTACTCAGGTCGAGGATCCGAAGTTTTTTCAACGGCTTGAACGCGTCCGGGGAAATGGAAGATATCCAGTTCCCGTAGAGATGCAGTTCAGCGAGATTCTCGAGATGTTGGAACGTGCTTTTACCCACTCCGCTGATCTGATTATACGAGAGATCCAACACTTGTAGAGCCTTCAGATCAGGCGGGAAATCCTCGAGTTCTTTCAAACGATTGTGCGTGAGATTAAGTAGCCTGAGGTGCTCCAGTCCCTTTAATCTTTCTTGAGGCAGCAGTTCCAACTCGTTCATGCTCAAGTCCAAGGTTAGCAGCTCGAGCAAACTCCGGAACGCGCTCGGGGACACTCGCGAGATCATGTTGTTGCCCATGAACAGGTGCATCAACGCTGGGAACGCCTCGAAGTCCTGGCTGGTGACGATGGTCAGATTCGTGCCGGAAATGTGTATCTCTTGAAGCGCTGGATATCTCGCCTTCGAACTAATCTCGTGTATCCTGATTAGAGGATTGGCCGTGACGTTCAGCCAGGCCAGGTTCGGAACGTTCTGCGCGGATAGGGCGACCGCCGGTATTTGGTGAAATTTGTTCGCGGCTAGTTCGACCTTGCGAAGTAAGTTGGAACGGGCAAAGAAGTTTGCCGGCAGGGCGGTTAGGTAATTGTGGCTCAGGTCCACGGATATCAGACGGGATAGATTCACGCTGGCGAAACCCGAAAGGGTCGTGATGTAATTACCGCGTAAATCGAGTTCCCGCAGACTGGCCAATCCGTTTAACCGTGACATATCTACGTTCAGGATTACATTGTTAGCCAATGACAAGAACTCGACCGTGGTGGCGTTCCCGAACACGTCGTACGGGATTTCCTGAAATCTATTACCGTCCAACTTCACTTCTTTCAAAGAGTCCAGGCCGAGGAAGAGCAGGCCGGGTAGCGTTCGAAGAAGATTGTTACTCAGCAGAAGTTTCGCGAGATTCTTGTTCTTCGAGAATATCTCCGGTGGCATTCTGTAAAGCTGAGAGGAATCCATGGCTAGGTGTTGAAGGGATGGCAGTCCGTCCAAAGAATTTCCGTTGATCTGGCTGAAATTGTTGTAGGATATTCTCAAGATCCTCAATCCTGGGATATCCAGGCGGTCCAACGCAGACGCGGTGAGGTGATTGCGCTCGAGGTTCAGTTCGTACAGATTGTTCAATCCTCTGAAAGCTCCGTTTTCTATCACGCTAACGGTACAGTTCTTGAGATTCAACGTCCTGATTGGCAGGCCCTCTTGAAAGATTTTGTCGTGCAGCACGTTCAAGTGATTGTTGGCCAGGTCGAGCACGCGAAGTCGCTTCAAAGCGGTCAGTGCATAGGGGTCCAAGCGTCGCAGGCCGTTGTCCTGCAGGTAAAGTTCTTCCAGCTCGTGCAACTCCGAGAAAGTTCTTACCGTCACGTGGCTTAACCGATTCATGCTCAGCTCGAGGAACTTGAGTGCCTGCATCGGTTGAAAGGCCGTGTCCTCGATTCGCGAGATGGAGTTATTTGTTAGATACAACCGCTCGACCAGCAACAGGTCCCGGAACAAAGGAGCCTGCAGGCGGGTTAATCTGTTGTGACCGAGCCACATGATTCTGACCGATGCTTGCCCTCTTAAGGAATCATTGTGCAGGACACCGAGGCCGTTGTTGTCCAACTGAATAGAGACCAAGGAGCTGCCGCTGTTTCCATTTTGTCCCACGTCGTTCGACACTTGGAACACGTCGCCCAACACCGCGAGGAGATTACCTTGAAGATTCACGTGCTGCAGGCTGTGCAGAGACCTCAAAGCGCCCGTTTCCATGTCCGTTATCGCGTTATTCTGCAGATGCAGTTCCAACAGGGACGGTAAAGGCGCGAAGACACCTCGTTTGACTTCGGTAATCTGATTGTCCTGAAGTCGCAGCTCTCTCAACGACTTTGCTTTGGCGAAAGTCCCTACTTCCAGCTCGCGAATGTTGTTTCCATCGAGGGACAGCGTGGAGAGATTGTCGCAATGCTCGAGAAAGTCGCGAGGCACTTTCTCGATGTAGTTTCCGCTCAGATGTAGCTGTGCCAGTTGGCTCAAGGTTGCCAGACCTCGCGCGTCGATTCTCCTAATCGCGTTCTGCTGCAGATACACCACCGATAAACTCGCGCTGCCAGCGAACGTCTCCGCGGGTATTTCCAGAATGTTGTTCTCCGCGAGGAACAGCTCCTTCAGCTCGGGTAACTTTGAAAACACTCCGCGGATGTAATGTATGTGATTATGGCTGAGATCGATCGATCTCAGCCTCTGGTTCGCTCTGAACGTCGACACGTCCAGGGACACGATCTTGTTGTGACTCAGATCGATCGACTCCAGATCGATCAGCGAGATGAACGCGTCCTTATCCACGAACTCGACGGCGTTGTAGTAGAGAGACAGAGTCTTCAGGGACGGACAACAGCGGAAACAGTTGAGCGGGATCTTTTTGAAATTGTTGCTACTGAGATCGAGAAAGGTCAGGGCATCTAGTCTGGAGTATCCGTCTTCCGGAAGTTCGGATACCTCGTTCCAGGCGAGTCTCAGCGACGTCAGGTGCTCCAATCTCCTCAAGGACGTCATAGGGAACACTCTGATCTTGTTCTCGGCGAGATTCAAATCCGTCAGCGTGTCCTCCAGGCCGGCGAACGCGTACTCCGATATCTTTATTATCTGATTGCCCTTCAGGTTCAGCTTGATCAGCGAGAGTCCGTAAAAACTGTAACTGGGAAGTTCGTGCACCAGATTCGCCTCCAAGTCCAAAGCCTTCAGGGAACTCAGGGTGGCCATCGCCTTCTGTGGCACGTGAGGCAGTCGACCGGACACCAGTGCCAACGATTCCAAGCTTTTGCTCAGTCTCTTGAACGCGTCCTCGCTTATCTCGCGAATCGCCGAGTGAGATATCTGCAGATGCCTGATCTGGGAGCCGGCCGGGAAGGCGACAGGTCGAAGTTCCTCCACTTTTCTGTCTAGCTCGTAAACGCTTAAGGATTGAACTATCGCCCCTGAAACAGCGGCGAGAAACATGGCTGTGTGAGCGTCATTATCGTAATTCACGCGACTTAGTTAACCGAAACACGCTAGTACATCAAACTAATGGACTCTAAGCTATTCAAGACGCGATATTTCTCTGCCTAAAAACGTCCGGTTAGATAAACGTAAAGTTACTCGAGATCCTCTTAATTGAGAACGCAATCCAAACGTATTCAGGCAATTATTTCAGCCCCGTTGAATACAAGCTCGCTTAATCGGGTCTCCGGACAAAAGGCAAGAAAATCCCGTGCCACGGAAACGAAATCCCTTATTTATCCTAATGTATTCCCTCGTCATAGAACGTGCACGTACGTACCTTCCCCTTCAGCGGCGTGTATTACACCGGACAAAGCGGTCCTCAGGGATTCCTCGGTGGCCCCGGCGCATTCCAGGAACAGTCCGTCCTCGAAATTGTAACAAGGACAGCCGGGTATCGTGTCGAACGGCGGGCACTTGGCACTTCTCGCTTCCTGCGCTGCCATGCAGGCAGCCAACACCACCGAATAGATGAAACGAAAGCCGTCGCGGTTACCACGATGCTCGTGTCCGCCACGCGACGAGCCCGAGTCCCGCCACTTGCGTCTCGTCCGCGGCCAAGTCGTCCACATATTATTATTATCGCGCCGCTCCGTTCCCGGCTCGTCCCAATCCGCTCATCGTTTCTCTCGACGACACTCGATGTCGCTGCTGCGCCCCTATAAACGCCGAAAAATTTTTATTCGCCATTCCACTCTCGTTTCTTGCTATTCTAATCGCTAGCACGCTCGATTTCCCAGGTTATCGTCAACCTCAGTTATGGACATGTCAGTCGCAGACATCGCGCGCGGGTTCGCTTCGATAGATCTCGAAGACTTGGATCGGGATTGCCGAAATGCCCCGGGAAAGACGAGTCGGGGTCAACGACCCCGTTAAGCTAATGAACCCCGACTCGGATATGCGTTCGCAATGACCTTATTCCGAATTCTTCGACGCGAAGTTTCCATTTTTAACGCGATTTGTTCGCTCGCGAACACGTAGCGGCTACTTCGGAACGTCACGCGGCACGTTGATTGTTCCATAATGGCAGGTTAATAGCTGAGTCGCGTGCCACGCGTTATCGGATATTTGCTGCTACTCGGTGTTTTTTTCACTTACATTTTGTCTCGGCGACGCGTTTCTTTGTATCGAAGCCGGGAACACGGAGGAATTCGTAATACGTCGAATGACGAGTAGGGATTAATAGGAGCGGTGTAGCATACGGAACGAGGCGATAAATTGTTGAACGGTCGAGCGAATCGCGGTGGTGGAACCGTCGCAAACGATCTTCGCACGAGCACATCGTTTCCGTATGCAGCGGAAAGGAGTACGCGTTATTCGCTGGAATGCAAAATTCCGGGTTTCGTGACGATATTAACGGTTCAGCCGCAGCGTGCTTCCACCTTTATCCGCATATTCGAGATCTTTGCTTTGCTCGATTATCCGTGCGAGCCGGGAAGCGAGTAGTAGGCGCTCGCTCGTACGTTCTAGATGGATGGCGGTTGTGCGTGAAGAAATATTCCAAGAAAATGTTAATGCGTCTGTAATGCCGATAAAAGGAGCACGACGTTATCCACGCACGCGAACTTTTTCGTGCGTAATTCCGTACGCTCGCGGAGTCGATTAAATCTGCTGATCGGTCGATACGGCTGTTTTATTATTCCTCCGCTCGGCACGACGTAAACATTCTCGAAACAAGCACCTTTTACTCGAGTTTCCCGCAGAATCGGCGATTCGAAAGCCGAGATAACTCGTAAACTCTGCAAACTGCAACGAATCGCAGAATACATAGACGCATTTGCGTGCATAATTACGACGCGGTACGATGCCAGATACGGACGTGCGTAGCACGGAAAGTAGTACAGACCGGCGGCGAGTCGGACTATCGGCAAACGAGCTTACTTTGGAAAGTAGAACGAGCTTATCGCGTGGACAAATATCGTTTATAACTAGATTAAAAGGCGAGAACGGTGGGCGATATTCGGTGGCCGGGGTGCAGGGTGTAGACGTGTAAGTCGAACCGTACTCCACCGGAGGAATAGGTTCGTCAGCGAGCGGGTAAATACACAGCGACTATGGGTATTTCAGCGAGTAGAATCGTACCGTTCTTGAATAGACAAATACAGAGCGAGGCTGTACTTGACACAGCAAGTAGAACTAGACGGTCTTCTCGGTACGAATACGCTGGCAGCGAGCATAAATGTCCAGGCAGAGTATAACCGTTCGTCGTTGGGCAAATAGACTCGAACTCCACCTGATTCAACGAGTAAAGCGGACCTGTTTATGGCTCCAAATACGTAGTAAAATTGCGGCGAACCGTTATGGAGGTTAACCAAACTTATTCTCGCCTAATACAAATATATACTTTGCCAAGTATTTTCCTTTTGTCGTCCGCGTAACGATACTGCGGCTATTCGTGTCGGTATCACAGGTTTCATATATCAGCCACGGACTCCTGCACCTTCGCTTTCCCCCGGCGCGTACAAAGAGTCGTGATCCCGGAGATCAGCCGGTCGTAATTTAATGTCCGTGGTAAATCTTTGGAGCTAGCATGCCGTCACGCGCGCGATGACCGGCTGCTAAGTTCGGAAAAATATGGCCGGATCGGCTGACAGGATTTTCGGCTAGACGTTCGACCAGCTCCGAGAGATCAACTCGCGAGGGTAAGTCCACTGCCGGTTACGTTCTACGTAAAGTCACCGCGAACGGACAGGGGAAGAAGAAGTTTGTTAGGGGTTGTGCTTACCGGAGGTTAGCCGGTAGGTCAGAGACGGCGGTGAAGTAGAAAAATCAATATTGCCTCCGGCCTCCCGGCTTTGAGCTTTTAATTAATGCACACGCGTAATGCAAGTTTTTAATCATTACCGCCCGTTGATTACGCGACGCGCAATTTATTAACACGGTTTTTCGATGAACCTCCGTGCCAGTAATGCTCCGCGTTGTTCGAGACAAGTAGATCTCGTTTCGTAATTAGGACAAAGTGCTTCTTTGGAAGTTGCGTCTACGAGAGGGCGAGAAAACGCCAGGTACATATATACACTCGGTTTTTCTTTTTCGCTCGCGTGCCGTTCGCCGTGTGAACGGCGTCTCGTAAAATTTATACGACCCATAGACCGACGAGTCGTTAGCAGGCATTAGAAATTACGAATTCGAGTTCTCGCGAGATAGAAAAGGTACCGGACGGTGATAAATCTGCGGCCATTAGTTCGCGATCGGTAGACGGCTACGTAGAATAGGCAACGGAGAGAGAGAGAGAGAGAGAGAGAGAGAGAGAGAGAATTGGGCAAGTTTTCCGAAGAACGTAGCCTGCGGAGCATTTAAAGTTTAAGCCAAACTGGCCCGACTCGGGCAGACAGTTTCGAATAAAAATTTTCCGGCCAAAGTATCCCGAAAGGGGACTATTTAACTTTCCCGTTCCCGACGAACCGCTTGAACCGGATTTTTGCATAAAGCGCGTGCCTCGTCGTCGCGGAACTCTATAGCGGCCGCGTGCGTCCGTTGTTACAGCTTCTCGAGCTTGATTACAATTTAGCAGAAACCCCGGTGTATCGCGGTCGAGCATCTGAAACGTAGCGTGCACGTGCAGACTATACACACGTGACTATCTCAATGGGCATGTTATTACATTCCTCGTTTCGCTGGCTATTAATGCTCTGAGAAGCGTACAGGTGTCGTGGCGGTGGGACGATACGAAAAGGGGGCCTCGTCGCCGCTTGTTTCTCGTCGAGCATACCTCGTATGGGGAAGGACCGAAATATGGCAGGGTTTAATAAAGGACACTGGCTTCCTCTGCGAACGCGAGCACAGCTGCATCGCGAGAGACACTCGTGGCGCACTTAATTAAGCGTCGCAGCGACGCTTAATCTCCAAACTGCATTCGCCGAGTCGAAATGCGTCAGGCGAAATTGAATACTTTCCTTGTTACACACCTAGGCCCCAGATGAGTCGTTACGGGGTTGGCGAGCGCTTTTTTCCACGGGACAATCGATAGATGTGGACAAGAAACGGGTACGCTTCTTCGGCAACTGTTTTGCAGGGATAGCGGAGATTTTTAAAATGTAAATTATAATACTGGATACTTTGGGGTTCTTTACGGACTCGTATAACTTCGTCTCGCAGCAAGGAATATTGTCCCGGAGGTAAACTTATCGACCCAGGTGAAAGAGGTAAACGGAATAGAGTTGAAATTTTTATGCAAGATGCTCGATCGAGAGGAACCGTAGGAAAATATTTCGTCGAAGCATCTCCGGGACAAGTTCCCCGGTTATCGAACGACGTAGAAAAATCGTGGTTCGTTTCCGGATACGAAATCGTTTGGCAGAAGACGGTTAAGAAAATGCACATCGACGAATGGCAAACATCGCGGCAAACGCGAATCTGGGACCGCGGAACGAACTGTAATTTCTATTTCGCCCGTGAATCCCGAACAGCCGAAGTGCACTTGAGCTTCCATTACCAGAGTTTCGTAAAGCAGAATTGACTTTGCGTTGTAAGAGCAAGTTCCAAACTGGTCGGAATTAGGAAACAGAGGAAGATCCTCTACACGCATGAGCGCGAAGTTGGCTATCGGTGCAGCGATCGATCGACACACGCGAGTCACGCGAATCATCTTTCGCCGATCTCTTTTCGCCGATATTCTCGAGAACCGAATCGAAATACGGCGCGTATAGCGGTATCGACGGATCATCGTGTCGGAATAAATAGTAGTTGGCCGAGAATTCGAGCCGATTTGCGTACTTCCCTTACTTCGATCCCTTTACCATCCACCGTTTTATCCCTTATCAATCCCGCGCGCTCGAATCTCGCAGCCTTTCCCGCAATACACACCGCTCATCTTTGCTACTTCAGCGTCCCGAGTGCGTCGAGTGCCGTGCAAACTTCTCGGTTACTTCTCGATGCTCGGTGAACTAGTTTCAGCAACGATGGATTATTAGAATTCCGCACGGCGAAATAACTTACAACGTGTACGTAATCGGAATAACATTATCGAGAGAGACGCAGAAATCATCGGGACGAGATCTCATCGACGAGTCGCGTTCGATTTCTAACAGATCGTTGGAAATTGGCGCGGAATATTTCGATTGATTCTTCAAACGGTCTTCATTCAGCAGCGATGACGGGAGCACGGGAGCACGAGCAAAAATAATGCAATGCGGCATCGGATGCACGTAACTTCGGCCAAGACCTTAATCCTCTTTTCCATGGACACACGTCCTGGATGAAACGGACCGATTCATTGTATCCACTTGAACGTTCGACCACAGACGTCTGCGTACGAGCTTCTCCATTACTTTGCGATCAAATCTCGGAAACCGGTGGTCAGTGGAGAAGATCCGTAATCTGAACAGAGTCCATACGATTCGACCGATCCACCAGAATCACGTTGCATCGATTCCCGTCGCAGCTCCAACGAGCTAGGGACCATGGGGCCGCGGTCTGGAACGTTTTGGTCCATTAAGGCCACAGGAAAATTGAATTCCGGCGCGACAGCGAGCGCGCAAGCTCGGATTAAATCGTTGCGGTGCACGGACGAAACCGCGTTCGCTAATGAAGCGCGCTGCGTTGAATATAAAAGGGATGCCACAGATCCCTT